TGTCAGCAGTTCTTCAATGATCCTCTCTGTGTATTCTGTTTTCTCCTCCTGTTCTGGAATTTTGTTCACTGGCAAATTTTTCTTTTGATTGTATCCCACGTAATTCCCAGGGTCTCTTCATTTCTCTTTATTCTTCTTTCTGATGTTTCCTCAAACAGAGTTGTCTCCAAGTGTTTGCTGATCCTGTCTTCCACCATTTCTAATCTGCTCCTCAGAGCTTCTATGACACTGTCCATTTCTGAAATCTTGTTGTTTATATTTTGAATTTCTAATTGTTGTTTTTCTATGATTTATAGTTGTGAATTTATTTTAGCATTTTGTTCCTGCATTATTTTCCTGAATTCTTCCTTTTTTATGTCTGTAACGTCCATGAATTTGTCTGCTTTTTCCATGAATTTGTCTATTTTTTCCTCATTTGTGTCTGCTTTTTGCTTCAAGTCTTGGATAGCTCTGAATATTAGAGATTCAAATACCCTATCAGGTAGTTCTAGTGCCTTTTCTTCTACTAGAAAGTCATCTGGTTACCTTTAATAATTTTACTTTACAATTTTGTTTCTATGTGATTTGAGGGAGTCCATATTATGTGTTTATTATTAACTATGCCTTTGATTATATTATAATGAGCATCTATATCCCACTTAACACTTTTTCATTTGAATTTTACTTTGTGTCATATTAATATTGGCCATGTTTACCCACAGATTTACATGGAAATTTTTTCTTTAGTATCACATGTAAAATCTTACTCTCAGCCTTCTTCACCTTTAAATTTTGAAGATTCTTTGACTGTCAGTAGTTCGCATGTCTTCAGTGTGACATGCTACTTTCCTAATCATTCTTCATGACCTTGATGATTCTAGCATCTTTAGAATTGATGATATGATCTCAATGTATTTGGAAAGACATTACTTCCTGTTTCATCGAAACTTAATTTTGCAATTTCCTAAACTGAAACATATACCCATAGAAGTTAAATACCTTCTACTGGAGTTCTTCTGGAAGCTTTTGATAGCTATCTGTTCAGATTCTGAAGACAATCCATTGTTGTTGCTGTTATTAGTTGCTGTCCAGTTGATTCCAATTCATGGTGAATCCACTACAGTCCATTAATAAATCAAATCAATCTCTCTGAGATTTGAAAATTTGATGGTTACCAAGAGATCCCATTCAGATTACACATGCCAAGGAATAACAACTGTGGCACACCTTCACTATCTAGAGGCTGATGGGAAGGTTCTTTTGCCACCAATTTAAAGATATCTTCCAATATAAGAGATACTAAAATGCTAGAAATTTAATGTCACAGATTAGAGAAAAAGTGGCAGTAATATAATTCAATTGCTGATATCTTAGCATTGCTTTTGTGGGCTTGGCTGGGAAAGTAACCACCCTTTGCAATAGTATGCCTATGGAGAAATAAATACATGCTGATTTCAAAAAAAAAATCCCTGAAATCCTTTATATTTAAAACACCGTTGTCCTTTTGAAGAGAATTTTTAAGATCCATGTACCATATAAAGGCAAAAGCTAGACTTCATTTTCTATTACTCTCTACCACTAATAAAATGAGTTCACTTGGCTGCTAACCAAAAGGATGATGAGTTAAATCCACTCAGATGTGCCTCAGAAGAAATGGATGGCAGTCTACCTCCGAAAGGTCACAGCCATTAAGAACTCTGTGGAGCACAGTTCTACTCTGACACTCATGGAGTTGCCATGAGTCAGAGTCGACTCAACCAAAACTAATTTGTTTGTTTTTTAATCACTAAGAAAAAGTCACTAAGGTTAAGTTACATTTGTTTCTTATCAATTAAATAATTACATGCTTTTCTTGTCAGCTTTGTGGATCCCCTTCTGCAATTTGAATTTCAATTGACACAAGTAGAGTCATCCTTTAAACTGTTAATTGCCATGCCAAGTCTTGATGAAGTAAAAGAAGTAAATAACAGCAGTAACAACCAGGAGGATCTGGAGGTAAGATGCTTCTTCCTTTAATCATGATGAGGAATTGTTACATACCACAGCAATACCTCCCTACCTCGTACTAAGGAGTTTCTCTCAGCAGGTAATAATCTTTGTTGTCCTTCGCCTTCACGTTTCTTACATATAATAAGTGGAATTTACTAGCAAGTGCTGCAAAAAAAAAAAAAAAAAAAAGGAGCAGAGAAAGGTGGAAGTAGGAAGAATCCTATAGTAACGTCAGCAATATTGTAGTCTCTTAATTCTCAGTATTGCTGCGCAATGCCCTTGCCCGATAAGCTGGAGAAGCAATTCATGGCAAATGGTACTGGGTGAGGTCTCATTAGCATAGCTACCCCTCTTCTTTCTTGCTTTCAGTTTATGGGGAGAATTTAGGACACCAGGATGCAAAACAATATACATTCAGTAAAATTTTATCAAATTTGTGTGACTGGCTGATTGCGTAACTATTTTGTTTTTTTTTTTAAATTATTTTTCAGGTTTTATACCAAAACGTTTTAAACGTATTTGAGGACACTCTACTGATTTTGGTGTCTAAAGACTTCTATAAACTACAAATCTTAAAGGTAAAGTAGATAGTTTGAGAACAGGCATAACTTTTCAGGAGTATCCATGGAAGCACTCTGGCCCATGAGTTATGCAAATCATAAAATATATCCAAGTGAAAGAAGCAGGACTCGCATATATGAAGGCAAGAAAGAAGGTGAAGGAAAACAGAATTCAGTGAAACCTGTGAGAGCCGAACTTGACAGGATTGCCTTGTTTTTCTGAGTCTTGCAAGTTTTCTGCCTTTGACAGGGTGCAGTCTTACCACTTTTCTATCCTCTCTATTAGTGGAAAATATTTAGGTTTTCCTTCTCTAACAGGTTTCCACCTTACACAGGTCTTGGCTTTTGAAGGTTTTACTGTGTATTATACTAATGTGTGCCTAATTTGAGCCAAGTGTTTTTTGTGCAAGGTCCCTGGGTGGTGTAAGTGGTGTGCTATTGGCTGCTAACCCAAACCCACCCAAGGGTGCTGTGGAATAAAGACCTGGCAATCTGCTTCTGTAAAGACTACAGCCAAGAACTGCTATGAAGCAGTTCTACTCTGTAACACATGGGGTCACCAAAAGTCAGAATCGACTAAACAGCAACAGGTTTGGTTTTTTCTTAGTGTTTTGGCATTTTCTAATTTTTTCCTCGTAATTTTTTAAAGTGGTTTTCATTATCCCACTCCCCTCACCCATTTATTTTTCAGCACTCCTTGCAGCTATCAATAGCTCCCATTTATTGAGCATTTACTCCATGTCAGCCACTAAGCTAAATAGTTCATACGTGGGCTATCTTATTTCACCCTTAAGATAACCCTTTAAGAAAATTATTATAATTGCTCCCATTTTGCAGATCAGGAAATGGAAGTGAGAGAGGATCAATGATATGTCCACGCTAATGAGTGGAGGAGCCACTCTAACTTAGGAGCCTGTTACTTAACCACTTTGTTCTTCTACCTACCCTCGCTAAAAACTCTCCTGATCCTCAAATAGAGCTGGAGCCTCGGTCTTGGAAGGTGCAGGGGCTGACCCCTCTGAGATTTAGAGACTCTTCTGCCCTAAGGAAGGGGATTCAGGACAGTTTTCTGGGATGGGAGCAAGTCCAAGGAAAAAAGGTTATTTGGCCAACCATTGGCATAAATACTATGGACTCCAACAGACTCCAACAGGTATCCTTAAGATGTCTGCTAGTAGTGGTTGGCACAAGAGGCGTGTGCAATCTTCTTCCCTTCCCAATGTTGTAAATATGTCCCTGCAACTGAGGGTTTAGAACAAATAAATAAAAATTACAGCAAGACAGTTTTGAATCAAAACTAGCAAGAACTTTCTAACTGAACTGCCTCCAATAATGTGTCCTACAATCATAAGCAGGAAAATTTCTTTTTTTAAAAAAAATTGTACATTAGATGGAGGTTTACAGAAGAAACAGTTTCTTATTAAACAGTTACTAAACATATTGTTTTATGATAATGGTTAACAATCCCATGACATATCAACACTGTCCCTCCTCAACCTTGGGTTCCATTACCAGCTTTCCTGTCCCCTCCTGCCTTCTAGTCCTTGTCCCCGGACTGTTGTGCCCCATTAGTCTCATTTTGTTTTATGGGGCTGTCTAATCTTTGGCTGAAGGTTGCATCTCGGGAGTGACCTCATTACTGAGCTAAAAGGGTGTCCAGGGGCCATCTCCTCGGGGTTTCTCCATTCTCTGTCAGGCCAGTAAGTCTGGTCTCTTTTTGTGAGTTAGAATTTTGTTCTATTTCTCTCCAGCTCTGTCTGTGACCCTCTGTTGTGATCCCTGTCAGAGCAGTCAGTGGTGGTAGCTGGGCATTGTCTAGTTGTACTGGACTGAGTCTGGTGGAGGCCATGGTAGTTGTGGTCCATTAGTCCTTTGGACGAATCTTTCCCTTGTATCTTGTCTTCTTCATTCTCCCTTTGAGCAGGAAAATTTCTGAGTGCTGAATTTGCAAAGAAAATTTTAGGGTAAGATGAATTTTTAGACTCATAATACTTCAATTCTATTTTAAAGCTGAAAATCAGAGTCTGTGATTAAAAAAAATAGTATGTATTTTGAAAGAAAAAGAAGCTGCTGATAATCATACCACAGTCCCTGCTAAACTTTTTTATGATACCTGACAAAGTAACTGTCATAATGAAAATTAGTAAATATTTGTTGAGTGTAATTAAATTAAATAAAAGCCAGGCATAGATTCAGTAAACAAGGCAGTATACTTGTTGCCCATATTTTGGACATAAAAGTAGGTTAGGTGTGGTATAATCGGGAATGTGTCTGAGAACATAGAGACCTCTGAATTAATGAAATTGGAGACTAGAAGGAGCAGACTTTGGAAAATAGAAATACCATGGTTCTAGGATAACTCTTGTATCTTTCACAGGACATGGCCGTGTGGATGAGTAAAGACAGTTCATACCTACAGGAAAGAGTCATGGTGATCATAAGCAGAGTGCTAAGCTTTGCATCGCGGAAAGTCAAGTCATATGTAAGTTACAGAGTGAAGTCATGCCACCTGACTCTGATTTTGTCTTGTTGCTTTCCAAGTCTTGGGTCTTGTGAGTGCTAGATGCCTGCTTGGTATTATTGTGCTGGTAGGTTGGGGTATCAGGAAAGGAGTCAGTATCCTACATGATTTTATGTCAGTCACAGAAGTGTTTCTCAAACAATTGATTAAGACACATTGTGCTTTGCACAAACAGCATGAGTGTGTCAAAGCTGGGCTTTCACCAACTCTATGGATTCTCCTTTATGGACCATACTTAGCGGTATTTGTAATTGTATAAATTCTTCCATCATTCCTAAAACATACTTTTAAAGTATTATGTATTTATTTTATAGTTACGTAATTCATCAATACTTTCATTGTAAAACATGCTAGAGATAGAGCAGTCATCTGTCTTTACTGTCTTTGTTGCCTCAGTCCCCTCCCTAGCCATGTCAGTGTGATGTGTGTGTCCTGCAGACCTCTTTCTATGTGCACACCCACACAAACATACCCACAGTGGGACATAGATCATTTTATTTAGTTTTTCTTTACTAAGTTACGTCATATTTCTACATAGTTCTTCAATTTGTTTTTTTAATTGAACAATATCTCTTACTGATATTTTCATGTCAATATATATAGATTTATTTTACTAGTTTAACCATAGCATATACTCCATAGTTTTTAGGTATTACAATCTATTTAACAACTCTTCAGTTGATGGACATTGTGGTGTAGTTTAGCTTTTTTCTACTTCAAACAGTACAAAAATGGGCATCCTTGTGCAAGCATGTGCGTACATTCTTAAAAAATGCTTAGAAAGATAATGGTCAGATCAAAAAGTATGAACAGCTTAAAGTTTAGGAATGTAGAATTTTCCTCCAATTTTCATTCATGTGACTATTAAAATGTTCATTTTCCCACACCTTCACAAACACTAGATATTACCAGACTTTTTAATTGTTGATTTTCAGATGGAAAACAAATAGATACCTCACAATTGCCAATATTTACTGAGGTTTACTGTACTTTGAATGACATTATTGCCTGCCTGCTCATAAACCTCATACAATTATGAACAACTCTCTCTCTTGTGGATACTGTACATTCAGCCTTTACTTCTTAACTCATCCTTCTTGGTGCCTTTCAAACAAACCCCATTCATTGATTGTCTGATTTCTTGAGTCCTTTCTGCAGGAGCTTAGAATAAAGGGGTCAGAAACATGCATCTGGGATGCTACCTTACTGTATCCATTTCCTACTCCTTGTATTAACAGTTCCCAGACATACTGAGACAAAAAGCCTAGATCTGCCTGTTGTTGTTGTGTGCCCTCAAGTTGATTCTGACTCATAGCGACCCTATAGGACATAGTAGAACTGTCCTATAGGGTTTTCTAGTCTGTAACCTTTACAGCAGCAGATCACTGGGTCTTTTCTCCCATAGAACTGCTGGGTGGATTTGAACCGCTGGACCTTTCAGTTAGCAGCTGAGCTTTTAACCATTGCGACTTCTTGATCAGCCTTATAACACACCTCATTTTTTACTATTTTGTTTAAAATCAGGTTTGGAAAGCAAGTATACTTTACTTACGTGATGAAATACAGTTCATGGTGTTCTTTAAAGCATGCTGATCCCTATTTCAGTATCCAAAAGAGCGACCATGTGACTTGTTTAAATGTTCTGATTCTCTGACCTGGAAAGGCAGTCTCCCTCTACTTCTAAAAATGGCTTGGATTGTCCATTCAAGTGTTTAAAAGATTCATCACAGAAAATTTTGTAAGTGAGGCTTGAGATTAAGTGTAGTTCACCGCTCCATACTGTTGTCTGCACAGTATCTAACACATATGACACACTTAGCAAGTGTTTGGTGCTGTCTGACTAGGGCTATTCATACGCTTCTCTCTGCATTTGAATATATATATTCTAGTGAGGTGCGCGCAGGTAGTAGGAAGACATTTTTGTATTTCTCCTCCTCCTTCACCTTTTTCTTTTCTCTCTTTCCATTACTGTAGCAAAAATCATTCTCCCCTGCACACAGCCCACCCCTCAACTGTAAAAGAATAAATATGTAAATTCACATGTGCAACAGAAGGCTCTTATAAGCTGTTAATTGGGGGTACCTAGCTACTACTGAAATTTATTTGAGCAACCAAGTGCGAGGTAACCTATTCATGTTCTGCACTGTTCACTAAATGCCACCAGGTGGAAGCACATCCACATTTTTCAGAACATTGACACTAAGTGCTAAAGTCAACCAGCTCGTCATAGCATAAAACTTTATAAATTAACTTTTTCTTTAAAATAATGTATAAAGATGTTTACGTCGGTGAAATTAATGTGAGGCCAAATTTATAAAATTAAATAATCAAAAAATGAACTTTGTTAATAAATTCTATCATAAAGTTGAGCTTCCCAATGGCTGGGCATGTGTATGTCTGTACCTGACACATCGTGGATAATCAATGAAGATTTACTATGTCCTTCTCTAAGTAAATATGACTATTTTATTCTCCATTACTATCCATACTCTGGATAAAGACATTCTTCTTCATTAATAGTCTAGGTCTTCCAGAGTCTCAGATACCCTTGTCCTATTAAAAATCCTATCATTTGTATTCTGTCAGAAACATTTTTGAGTGTTAATTCTCCTTACATGACCCATATGACCATCAGGGTGGAAAAACTCTTACATTCAGAGAATACTTGTCCCTTTAATTAAACTGCTGAATTTTCAACAAAGAAATGTGAGCTAACTATGTCATTTTATAGCATTAACAGAAAGATATTATTCCTAGGTTCATTCTTTGGCACATGAGAACTTAAAAGATGGGTGGAGGATTTTCAGTCAAATCTAGTAGTCTGCCCACCTGTATTTACCTCATGTCCCTCCAGAGTCCTCACAGAATGATAGCAATGAAATGTGTTAAAGGTATAAGTCCACAGCAACAAGTAAAATTAGTGAAGAGTTTTTAATGGGTTAGAGATACCCACCAGCTGTTCCTTGGAATCCCTATGGAGCAGTTCTACTCCATCCCATAGGGTTGCTATGAGTCGGAATCAACTCAACAGCAATGGGTAGAGATGTCTGGAAGATAGAATAGATAGAAAACCACCAGTAGCCAGTTGCTATCCATTGACACTAATTCATGGTGATCCATGCGTATCAGAATAGAACTGTGCTCCACAGGGTTTTCAATGGCCGATTTTTCAGAATAGATCTTCAGGTATTTCTTCTGAGGCCCCTCTGGGTGGACTAGAGCCTCCGACCTTTCAGTTAGCAGCCAAACATTTTAGCTATTTGCACAATCCAAGAACTCCAGAAAGAAAACAGTAACTGATAAAGCCTGAATGGCAGGAGCATATGAACATTAGGGTAGGGGACAGCTGAAACGGGAGGCAAATTGCCCTTCAGAACCCTGGCAGAGCTGGAGCTGTGAAAACCCAAGTAATGATGGAGGGTGGGAGTCAAAGAAGGCTGAAAGCATATGCATTAATTGAAAGGTTCAATTGAAAGTTTATGTAGAAGAATCTATGTTACCTCCCATCCCCCCTCACACACACTATATTCCAGTGTCGCCTCACATCTCTCTTCATACACACACTATATTCCATTGAGACAGTGTCCACTGGCAGGCAAAATATAAGCATTTCTTTCCTCAAAACAGTTGTAAGCTCCCTGAGAAAAGACTCTTGCATTCTGTTGTTTAGGCATACTGCAATGTGATAGCAGCCTCCCCACCTAACTACCATAAAGCAAGGTCCACCAGTTGCCAAACTTTGTCCACATATAAAACCCTGTCAAGTAAGTGGTATTGCATTCTTAAATGTGAATAGAAGCCAAGATCTTCCAGATATTTGAGAATATTGTCCAAAATAAAGAGACAGACCAAAGTAAATAAAGAGGGGGAAAAATGACTATCAAAAAATAGAGAAATAATTCAGGATACTGATGAAAACTTATTAGAAAGAGTAGAGAAAACATATTTATAATGCCAAAAGGGAATATAATTAAAGTGAGCATGGTCTATGCATTGAGCAATTTTACTTAGTCATAATTTTGAGAACACTAATGATTTTCACCTTTTAAGATCAATCTATAAACCAAGCATTAAAAAAAGCTTGACAGCTACTAAAAACAATGTAAATGCTATGAATGCAACAATACAAAAATAAAAGTCCAGGCCACAGTTTGGTGGTTCCTCAACAAGTTAAACATAGAATTAGCATGTTGTTATTTTTGGGTGTCGCTGAGGCAGTTTTCCACTCAGCGATCCCATGTAACAGGATAGAACTGCCCCATAGGTTTTTCTAGGCTGTACTCCTTACTGGAGCAAATCACTAGGTCTCTCTCCCACAGAGCAGCTGGGTGGGTTTGAACTGCTAACCTTTCAGTTAGCAGTGAGCGCTTAATCTTCATGCCACCAGGGCTTCTAGGATTAGCATATGACCCAGCAATTCCACTCCTAGGTATATACCCAAAAGAATTGAAAATAAGTATTCAAACAAAAACTTGTGCATGAATGTTCATAGCAGCACTATTCACAATAGCCCAAAAGTGGAAACAACCAAATGTCCATCAAAAGATGAATGGATAAACAAAATGTGATACATATATGCAGTTTACTCAGTCATAACAAGGAGTGAATTACAGATGCATCCTACAATGTGGATGAACTTGGAGAATATTATACCAAGTGAAAGAAGCCAGACACAAAAAGCTACCTACTGTATGATTCCATTTACATGAAACATCCAGAATAGGCAAATACAAACAGAATGTAGGATTGTGGTCTCAAAGGGCTGGGAGGAGGAGGCAGATGGGGAGTGACTGCTTAATGAGTACAGGTTTCCATTAGAGGTGATGAAAAACTTCTGGAACTAGGTAGTAGTGATGGTTGCACATTGTGAATGTAGTTAGTGCCACTAAATGGCACACTTTAAAGTGCCTAAAATGGTAAATTTTATGTTGTAAGTGTTCTACCAGAATTTTTCAATGCAAAAAAGGAAGGGCAGGGAACAAAAGTAGGGGAGTAGAAGTAACAGAGGTAGTTTGAGATAAATAAAAGAGTCAAAACTATCTACCTAATAAAGTGGAGACTCAACCAAATGTCCCCATTTTATGAAACAAGAAATGAAAGTTTTACTGTATTTTTAAAACACGAAAGTAGAAGAACTAAAAATAGTAATAAAACTATATTGAGAGGATTATGGCAAAGTGGAGGAGTGTAAGTCAAACCCTACCTTATCATAGCAGGAATAGATAAGGAATGTCTCAAACTGATGTCAAAAACAGAAGTCAAAGCACTTTGTTTAGAGATACAGAAGTGACTTCTGGAGAAGCAGCTAAAAACTTAGAAGTGTTTGCTTCTAGAATTTAGCACATAAAACTATCATAATTGTTAAGATAAAGAACTGGAGAGGCCAGATCTACAAAGAATAAGGGATCCAGTAAGAAAAGGCCAAAAAACTCGGCAGGAGTACTCAGAGTTAGAAGTGAATACTGAGAAACTACTATTCTCCAGTTCTTAATTCTTTCCTTCTTCGCAGGAATGATTTGGATAGATTTTCTCTAAAAGCGGGGCCATATTGCATTGAAAGTTCTCAAAGCCTGGTGTTTGAGGAGGTGTGACCGTGATTGGCATGCTTCAGCGGAGACTGTGCAGGGCATAATCAGTGTGCTCCTGGGTTCACGTGTCCTACTCCTCTCTTGGCCTAATCTAGTCATACCCTGCCCTCCTCAAACATGCTTTTAGTGGATGTAAAAAAGTAGAAATGCAATCTAGACATGGCCTCATCTACACACACCTAGACAAACCGTCTCTGCCAAACAGAATAGAAGAAACTGCTGGCAGCTCCAGTCACAAAAACATCTGCTAAGGATTATACATCCATAAGTTCCTGAGAAGGGATAATCTGGCAAATATTGTAAAACAATAAGACTTTAGGACCTATACCCTATAAATGGTCCCCAGCTTCAGCGAGCTAAGCTGTGGGAGGTATTCCTCCTCCATCATGCCCAACAGGGAAACACAATTTCTCATCCTTTTTCCTTCAGCCCATAGTGTGATGATGGTCCTTAAGGCCTTGCCATCAATTGGAAACAAACAAACTAACTAACTAAAAATCAAAAGAAAAGAACATGAGGGAGAGAGCATTTCTCCTTAGGGCAGCCACAACAGTCTGCTCCTAGATTCTCGTAAGTCATAGGCCTTAGAGGGGAAGCTCCAGCAGTCTTACTCCAGTAAGACTCCACACAAGAGTCTGAGTGGGAAGAATCCAAGGAGAACACCCACAGAAGCAGGACATTTATTATCTTGCCTTCTCCTACTGACACCATCACTCCCAGAATCCCAATTCAGTTATGCCCTTGGCCATGATGCAGGTCACTTCATAGTTCTTCTTTAGGAGTGAGTGAGTGTGTGTGTGTGAGAGAGAGAGAGAGAGACAAAGACAGAGAGAGAGAAGTTGGTTGGTCAAAAATCATGGGGGGCAAGTGTAGGGAGCAATGGAGGAGGTAGAAAAAAGCTGGCTTTGGGATCCTCCTGGAGGTTTCAGATGGCCTCAAACTTTTACCACCAACAGTTGCTCTAAGTATCAAAGCATTGATCTAGGAGAAATAATCACTTATCTTAGAGACAAGGAGATCCTACAGACCAAGCTACCAGTTTGCTGAACTTATGTGGGCAAAGCCCTTTTTTGTTTAAAAATAACCTCCACAAAACTGGTAAAAAATTGGGAAAATTTTTTCATAAAAACAAAATGTCTCTTCCACCTCTCCTCTCTTCTCTAATATCTCTACTTCCTTCTTTATTCATATTTGATCTGGCCAAACAAGTCAGTCAAGATGAGAATCTAAATATTTGAGCAACCTATGTATTCAGAAAGGTGTAGGAAAAAAATATATAAATGTTGTAATAGTAGCTTTGACATCAGAAATAAATGTTCTTAGTGTGAAAAAATCAACGACCCTGGGGCAAGTCAGAATATTCTAGGAGGAAAAGTGGCATTTTCCAGTAACTTAAACAGAGTCATCTGAACTGTTTTATATGTGAAGAGAACATACAAGTTTTTGGACATTCACCCACCGCCTCCCTTGTACCCTGGAAATTTGCTACCTGCAATTTGTTGTCTGCTTTATAGAGTAGAAATGAACATTAATTGAGCCACTACTAGTTCCAAGCTCTTTGCAAGGAACTATCTCGTCATAAATGTTACTCTATTAATCCCCACAAAAACTGTTAAAAGATTTGTTATCTTCATCTCACAAATGAGGAAATTGAGGCTTAGCAACAGAGTCAAGATACAAACAGAGATTTTTCAAATTCTGAAACTCACCCTCTAATCATAGTTCAATATATGAGAAGAGCAAATGCAGACATTTAATGTTGACTGCACATAGCAAATGCGTTTTTTTCCTTTGTTTCTCCTTTAGACAAGTGTGGATGCTCCATGTTTGGGTGACCTGGCAGCAGAGCTGTCTCTTTTGTGTTCTCATTCTGATCTTGTAATCACACAACAAGCATCCTTGGGAATGTATCACCTCCTCTGTATTGCAAAATGTCAGAATGGTAAGAATGGCTCATCACTTTTCTAGGTGTTACTAAGAACCTGTCACTAATTACTTGTAGATCCCAAGAAAGCTCTATGTCTGTGAATTTCTAAATTTTGCCCAAGGTCCATAGCTTCACTTTCTGAAATGTGTTTTTTAATCTTTTTAGAATTGTCAAGAAATTCCAGTAATAGTATGTTGTGCTTGGTAAATTGGTTCTTCAAGATCTGTAAAGTCCTGTGCTTAGATCAGTGTTGTGCATTGGTAATGGGGACAGGAATGCTGGGTGATGCTGGCGGCAGGGAAGGAGGGGAAGGAGAAAGTTTACCAATAGACTTTAAAAAGATGCATTTTTTTCCCCTTTAAAAATTTTATTCAGTGACTCTCAACTTCTCAATTAAGCTTTAGGGCATGTGCAACCCTCAGAGGAAATGGAAAAGAATGGAACTCCCTCAACACATTCATACTTCTCCCAGGTCAGATATGCATACCTGAAGAAAGCGAGGCATAAAAGGAATTATACCCCAAATTTTAGAGAAAGACCCACGATGTTATAGAATTTGTGGTTATCCACTACAGATATGAAAGTTTGCCTTTGAAGTCATCAAAAACCTGAAAATAAATTACCAGAATTTGAAAGGAGTGCAAAATATTTAGAGGATGACCCAATTTTCCAGTTATCAACATGGACTAATATTATCATGGATTATCCCATTATTTTGTGGGCAAATAGAAAGGTTATTAATATCTTCTTCCCTTACAACCTACTTAAATTTGACAGAACATCTAGAAAGAAGATCAACAAGGAAACAGAGGACCTGAATGACACTATAAACCAACTAGACTTAACAGACATACATAGAATACTGCACCCAACAGCACAATTACATTCTACTCCAGTGCACATGGATCATTCTCCAGGATAGACTTGCTTTGTGCATGTTAGGTCACAAAGCAAGTCTTGATAAGTTTAAAAAGACTGAAATCATACAAAGTATTTTCTCTGACCACAATGGAATGAAGCTAGAAATCAGTAATAGGAAAAAAAAAGAAACTGAAAAATACACAAACATATGGAAATTAAACAACACACTGTTAAACCACCAATGGGCCAAGGAAGAAATCAAAAGAGAAATCACAAATTTCTTACAGTCAAATGAAAATGAAAGCACAGGATACCAAAACTTACGGGATGCAGCAAAGGCAGCACTCTGAGGGAAATTTGTAACAATAAATGTCTACATGAAAAAAGAAGAAAGATCTTAAATCTACAGCCTACCTCAACAACACCAGGAACTAGAAAGAGAAGAGCAAACTAAGCCTAAACCTACCAGAGGAAAGAAATAACAAAGATCAGAGCATAAATAAATAAAATCAAAAACAGAAAAACAATACAGAGAATCAATAAAACTAGAAGTTGGTTCTTTGAAAAGAACAATAAAATTAAATACTTTAGCTAGACTGACAAAGAAAAAAAGAGCAAAGATGCAAATAATAAAAATAAGAAATGAAAGAGGGGACATTACAACTGACCAGACAGAAGTAAAGAGAATTATAACAGTATATTAAGAATGACTTCATATGGAATGGCAAGAGGCCTTGAATAGCTAAAGCAAGGTTGAAAGGAAAGAACAAAGTAGAAGGACTCACACTTCCTGATTTTAAAACATACTATACAGCTACAGTAATCAAAACAGCCTGGTACTGGTATAGCAATAGACACATAGACCAAGGGACTAGAATTGACAGTCAGAAATAAAACCATACATCTACGGCCAACTGACTTTTGACAAGGGTGCTAAGTCTATTCAAAGGGGAAAGAAGAATCTCTTCAATAAATGTTGGTGGGAAAACTGGATTTCCACATGCAGAAAAATGAAACAGGATACATGCTTCAGATCATATACAAAAACAAATTTTAAATGGATTAAAGACCTAAAGGTGCAAACTAAAACCATAAAATTCTTAGAAGAAAATGTGAGGCAATGCTCTCTGGCCTAGCTAATTTAATAACAAAAGCACAAATAGCGGGGAGAATATCTTCAGAAACTATATATCTGATAAGAATCTAATAAGCAAAATATATATAAAACTTCAACAATTTAACAACAAAAAGACAACACAATCATCAAACGGGAAAAAGACTTGAATAAACATTTCACTGAAGAGGCGATTCATGGCCACCAAACACATGAAATGATACTCAACATCATTAACCACCAGAGAGATGCAAATCAAAACCACTATGAGATATCATTTCACTCCCACTTAGGATAACTAAAATAAAAAAAACCAGAAAGTAACAAATGTTGGTGAGGATATGGGGAAATTGGAACTCTTATCCATTGCTGATGGGAATGAAAAATACTACAGCCACTGTGGAAAACAGTATGATGGTTACTAAAAAAACTAAGTATAAAACTACCAGATGTCCCAGCAGTTCCATTCCTAGGTATATAACCAAAAGACGAAGCAGAGACTCAATCAGAGACTTGTACACCAGCATTCATTGCAGCACTATTCACAATAGCCAAAAGGTATAAACAACCTAAATACCCATCAGCAGAAGAATGGATAAACAAGATGTGGTACATACATACAGTGGAATACTACCCAGCCATTAGAAGAAATGAAGTCTTGATACATGCTACAATAGGGATTGAGCTTGAAGATAACATGCTGAGTAAAATAAGTCAGTCACAAAAGGACACATACTGTATAACCTCACTTATATAAAAAGACAAGAAAAAGCAAATGTATAGAGACCAAAGTTTATTAATGGTTACCAGGGGCAGAAGAGAGGTGCAAGGGGGGGGGGGTTAATGGTGATGGAAAGGGTGGGGAAAAGGGGAGGGGTTAAATTGCATTGATTAAGGGTAGGGTTGCACAGCTGATTATTGCTAGTGCTGTCAATAAGTTGTATGCCTGTAAGAAGTTGAATTGGCAAAAGTTGTATGATAGGTATACTTACAACAATGACCAAAAAAAAAAAAGAGTAGCTGCTGAGGTCAGTTGCTTATGTACAACCAAAAACCTCATGGGATTTGGTTCTTTGGTGTGGAGGTTTAGGGTCATTATTTCATGGGAAATCCCAGTTAATTGACCTAATAACGTGTTTAGTGTTTCTGCTCTACCTCCTAGTTTGTTGCATAGTGCCTGGGGTCTTAAAAGCTTGCAAGCAGCCATACAAAGCACAACAATTGGTCTACATTCACCTGGAGTAAGAGAGGAAGAGGAAAGTCAGGAATCAGAGGAGGATTTGGAATATATGGCTAATTGCCTCCATGAAAAACTGCCTCTTTTGCCATGGGACCAGAAGAACTGGACAGTGCCTAGCTACCATTACTAACTATTTTGATCAAAGATCCTATGGAAGAATCTTGATCAAAAGGGGGAAATTTGCAACAGAATTTCAAATTCTCATGGACTATGAACTTTCTGGAGCCATGGAGGCTGGATGAACCCCTGAAACTATTGCCCTGAGATAATCTTTAAACGTTTAACCAAAAATATCCCTTGAAATATTTTTAAAACCAAACAATACTTTAGCTTAATTAGTAAAGAATGTCTGCCTTGACTGAGACTGGAGGTACCCCAGAAAGCATAGCCCCTGGATTCTCTATCAGCCCAGAACTAAAACAATTTCCGAGGCTAGCTCTTCAGACAGGGATTGGACTGGACTGTGGAATATAAAGTGATACTCATAAGGAGTGTGCCTCTTAGCTCAAGTAGAGACAAGAGACCAAAGGGGCAGCTTCTGTTCAGAGGTGAGATGGGAAGGCAGAGAGGGTTAGGAGCTGGTTGAATGGATGTGGAGAATCAGGGGCAGAAAGGAGTGTGCTGTTGCAGAATGGGGTGAGCAATTAGGGTCAGATAACAATGTATGTAAAAAATTTTGTATGGGAGACTAACTTGAAATGTAAACTTCATTTAAATGACAACAATAAAAAAAATTTAAAAAAGAATGTCTGCCTTGAGCATTGTGCTCTTTCAAGATCTATCTATATGAGATCAAACTGAAAACAGCAGCTCAAAAGAATAGAGACAAAACTTAGGGTGTAGTGAGTTTATGTTAATGGAGGAGGAATAACTCAGAAAACGAGGGTGAGAATGGTTGCACAACCTGAAGAATGTAATGAATGTCACTAAATTGTACATGTAGAAACTATTCAGTTGGTGCATATTTTGCTGTGTATATTCTCAACAACAACAAAATAAAAAAAATTTTTAAACCTACTTAAATTTAATGGGGCGTCAGAATGTTCAAAGATTCTTGCTTCAGTGGTGGGGAGAAATTAGCACTAGATCAAAATAAATGCTGTTCTCGCCTGCCTAACAAAGCATAAAAGCAAGACCTGCAAGCATTAAATTATTTCTAAATAACTTAACTACATCCCAGAGCAAAGCTCATGAATGTTTATAAGATACTTCTGCTTCCGTCCAGGACATAATAACAAAGAGCAGATTTACCCTTACACCAGAAACAACTAAAAACAAAAACAAATTATGGATATATAGAAGATGTAGATATTTCATGAGACATTGGATAACAAAGAACGATGATTCTTGAGAGATGGGAACAAATGTAGTGGGGTCCACAATTCCCTGAGGTTACCACCTACAGTAAGTTTCCACGCTGCAGCACAGGAAGGGTAACCCAGGTAGAGACCAATGGTTTCCCTCAGTGGAAGATACAGAATGAGAGTTCAAAAAGGCTAGGGTGGCTAGAGTTCCTAGGGAAGAGTGCTAGAGAGGAGATAATTGTACCAAAAGAGAACTCCAGTGATGTGCAGAGGGTCCCCTTTAAGTATTTAGCTAACTACTGAACAGAACATGCATCTGAGGAAACTACCTAATGCTGGGGTAAAAAATCACCCAGAAGGATTAGAAAAAGAAATCTACTGAATTCACACAAGGCTGAGAATAGTCGTTCCTATATGGCAGAATTAAAAACCTCCTCACTCATCGGTCATGAAATAGAATACTGAGAAGGTATTCCCTCTTTAGGAGAAAAAAAAT